TTTGCGGTGATTTTTTATTAGTGCTGTAGTGAAACGTTACGTTTTCAAAAAGTACTTTAAACTGTATAAATAAGTTCCCAGTCAATTGATTTACATCAGCCAATCAGACGAATGTCCTCCTATGAGCACAGACCAGTGTTTCAGCCAAAGTCCGAAACGTTTCGGTATCGCCCGAAATCCGAAACCTTCGAAATGCCGAAACCTTTTACAGCTGTTCTCATAAATTCTGGGACAAACTAAAAATTTCTCGTTTCCCGAAATCTATTCGGTTTCGTCCTATGAATCATCTAATTCTCTAGAAAATACATCGCTATCTCCGGACTGAAGTTCCGAAGACAATGACATGATTCCGAATAATTAGATGGCCTTTCGAGGAGATTTCGGGAAACGACAAATTTTTAGTTTATCCCAAAATTTATGAGAACAGCTGTAAATCCGAAACTTCCAAAACTTCGATCGGAAATTTTCTTTATTTTTACTCACCTTGCTCGTATTTTGCGTTCATTGATTTTCCACTCGGAAGTTTCACCCGATTTCGGAGGTTTCGGAACTTTCGGCCAGTTTCGCCCAATTTCGGAACCTTCGCCTAGCTTCGGAAGTGTCGTCCAGTTTCGCCTAGTTTTGGATGTAATTTTATGCTAATTTATACATGTGTTTTTCACGTGATCTGAAAAACTTCGTATTTTATTGGCTATAGGATTCGAAAATTTCGAAAGTTTCGCCAGTTTCGCCAATTTCGGAGGTTTAGTCCAGTTCCGGATTTGGGACTTCTGGCGAAACTATGTTTCGGAAATTTCGCCTAGTTAAAGTTTCGAAACACTGGCACAGAATCACGTAACGCCTATTTTTTTTTTATGTATAATAAAGAGTTACGTGTAATAGTTTCTTTGATGCATAGTATCCAATTTTGATTGCTATTATTTCTATATTTAATCTCTATTATGTCGGGATTTTAGTGTAAAACCAATATTATCCTTGTGTATTTATCATAATATGAAAATCGAATTTTTGCATAATTTGTTGGGGCTACAAACAAACTCCGGTAATCCTATAATTCACGACTAAACTACAAACATCCATCTATCGAAAGCTAAAATATCTAGCCGCAGCACATGCTGACAATCGTTATCTGGCCAATAAAAATAATTAATTATTTAGCAAAAATAAAGTTTTAAATTTTTTTTTGAAGCTTTGAACGAAACTTGACCAAATTCCATGAACCGTTTTTTTACTTTAATTCTACATGTTCATGGAATTAAAATAAAAAATTTATAAATTTTAGTCGAATAGTTCTTATTATCTTCATTCAAGGTTTTGCAAAAAAAAATTTGCTACATAATTAATAATTTTGATTGGATAGAAAATGATTTTGTTACCTTTCCTTAGCTTATATTACCTGATGAACTTCTTCTCTTGACCTAATAATCTGAATCATAAAAATTTCAATTTAAATATAAAAAACTGAGTATTAATTTAATTTAACCAATTGTTTATTTACCTTTGATACTAATAGTTTTCTATCTTCAGATCACTTCCAGTTCCATTACAATTTCCAAGATTTATCATATCATTAATATTTCCCATACCAGCAGACTCTTTATAACGATTGAATGCCTGTTCTTCATTCTTTTCAACTCCAATTCCATTTTTATAACAATATCCAAGAATTCCAATTCCTTTAGAACATCCTTTCTTAGCGGAATTTTGAAAATAATAGAATGCTATAGGTTCATTCTTTTAACACCGATTCCATTAAGATAACAATAACCAGTCCTATACAATCCATCAGGATCACCCAAGTCAGTGATAAATGAATGCCTTACTTTCATTCTTTTCAACTCCAATTCCTTTTTCTTAACAATAACCAATCGCAATGTTCCATCAGGATCATACATATCGGCGGATCTTTAGTATTAAGAGAATGCCTCACTTTCATTCTTTTCAACTCCAATTCCTTTTTCAAAACAAAAACCGACCATATAAGTTCCAAAAGTATTTCCCATTTTAGCAGATTTTAGATACCAAATAAATGCTTTATATTTATTCTTAGATTTATTAATATTTAATGAATCTCTTAGACTGTGTAAACACCAAACCGAAGTTTCATCTTGAAGAATATTTAATATAATAAGGATATAAGCTACGGATATATTAACATATAATAAATCTCCGATTTGATATAAATAGCCAAGAGAGAACGGTAAAGTTCCATTTTGAAAACGATATATTGCTAAAATAAGATCAAGTATGGGAAGAAAAAAACCAAGACCAAAAGCATAGTGAAATGAAAAGCTAAAGATAAAACTTAAGACAAAAGTTATCGTTATACAGATATACTTTACAGAAACTTAAATGTCTTAATACGCAATAACTGCGTAGTAACGACGTAGTAATTACATAATTACTATTAAATTTAATCGTAACTACATAGTTACTATGCAGTTACTGCGCATTAAGAGATTCAAAGTTTCTGTATAGTAGTTATTGATAGAACTAGGAAAGTCGAGAAATATTCGATATAAAAAAGTGTAATCAATAGCACCATTTGCCTTTTGAAGTTCTTCATCAGCTTCAGACATATCATTTTCATAATAATGTTCAAGGCTATTCTCATTGTCAATATTCAAAATAGTTTCTTTTTTTATATTATCGACATTAACATCTGAAATATTTGTATGTGTTATATTGTCGTTATTATTCGAAATAGAATTGTTTATATTATCGATGTAAGTAATAAACTCGCTGCTATTGATTGCATCATTATTATATGCCCATTCTATAATTGTTTTATCAACTTCTGAGGCTGATGGTCTATTTTCTGGGTTACTGTCCCAAAAGATTTGCATAACACGCTGTAGTACTTTTGAAATAGTTGATTGTAATCGGTCACAAATTTTTGCAGGAAGTCTTATATAATCATCTCGTTCATATTCAGAAAATACAGCTTTCCCTGAAAAAATTTCCCGCATAATCATCCCAAAAGAATAAATATCCGATTCTTTGGTGAAATGATCTTTACATAAAACTTCTGGTGCTCTATATGGCAAAGCTCCATAAATTTCGCCTAACTCCGTACTTAATGATCTTGCAAACCCTAAATCCCCAATATAAGCGCTATGTAAATTCGTTTGAAATATATTACCACTATGTAAATTACAATGAATAATGTTATGTGAATGAATAAATTTAAGATGAGATGCAATATGTGATAATAAATCTAATCTTTTCTTCCATTCCATTTTTGCTACAGCATCGAAATTTTGACGTAAAGACCCCATTCGTACATATTGCATGACTAGATAATGAGTGCCAGTAGTTTCATCTTCTGATATTCCATGACATTGCCAAAATGTTGGATTTTTATTAAAATATGCCCTTAACTTTAAAGTTATAAATTTTATTAAAATATAAAAATAGGGAACTGATGTTCCCCATGCAGATCCTCTTTTTTAAAACATTGATCAAAGATATCTCGACAACCGCCTAATGTAATTCGATGAACTTTTTTATTTGAGAATTCAAATAAGAACAGTTCATTGAATTCCGTTGAGCGGTTGTCGAGATATCTTCGATCAAAGTCTTAAAAAATTTCGCTGCAGCTTATATTTAATCGACGTTTGAAAATTTTAAAAAATTTATAAAAATATCTCGACAACCAACCAATTAAATTCGATGAACTTTTTTATTTAAAGAATTCAAAAAAAAAAAGATAAGCAATCGGATTTAATTGTGAGTGTCAAGATATCTTTAATAAAAGTCTTTAAAAAATGAACTGCACGGGTGTGGAAATATCAAAATTAGAGGTGTGGTGCTATTAAAATTATCAAATATTTACCTCTTTCAAAAGTTTATTATAGCAATCTTTATTTTTTAGCTCATGAAGTATTACATATCTATTTATAGTACTACGCGTCCATCTAGCTAAATATACAGGTGCGAACTTATTTTTTCCACTTTCCCCAATTTGTATCATTACTCTTAATTCATTAAATATGATTGTTGGTGTTGGTGTTAACGAGCTATTGCCGATATTTTCAAGCATAGAATTTTCTGATGAATCATCTTTATATTTTTGTAACAATTCAACAGCTTTTTTCTGATATCGATAACATAATCCGACTTCATATTGTCCAGCTGAATAACCACTTTCTGGAGATTTTAAATACAATTCAAATGCCTTTTTTTTTCATCTTTAGTTGTACCTATGCCATCTCTATAGCAATTTCCAAGGTTATATTGTGCAACTGAGGAATTCTCAGCAAACTTCAAAAGACATTCAAGTGCATCCTCTTCATCCAAATTCCTTATATAGTATTGGATGAAATCTTCGGGAGCATATCGTATTAATACATCAGGATCTTCGGCAGATTCTTTAAACCACTTAGATGCCTCCTTTTTATTATAGGTAGTGCCTACTTCATATGTATAACAATATCCAATCTTGAATTGTGCTGTGGAATTACCGCTTTTAGCAGCCTTCATAAGCCACACAAATGCCTACTTTCTGTCCATTTCAGTGCCTTGGCCATATAAATAACATAATCCAACGTTGTATTTCCCATGATGATGACCACTTTTAACAGATTTTAAGTACTAAACATCATTAATACAAAGCTCTACCTGTTTTCCTATAAATTATAATATGAAATAAATGGAAACAATGAAATTTAAGAATTGCATTAAAATTACTCAATAATTAACATGTAACAAGTTAATATCAGTAATATAATATGTTATAGCATAATCTATTCTAACTCCATTTAAACAATTCAAGCGCCTAGTTTCAATATAACAAATAATACCTCATTAATAAATTCTTTAATAGTTTTCTCACCACGCTTGTCATTACAGTGTATTTGTCAAATTTAACTAATTTTTTTTCTCCAAATTTAAGTTTTGATGACAAAATTTATTATTGATTTCCTAATTTTGAGCCCAAAAATAAAAAAAAATTATCGTCATTCTGATCTATAATAACAATGCGTCTAACCCATTTTACCCACAGGTAACCCATCTTCTCACTTTTTAATTCATTTTATTAGGCATATAAATTTATTATAATGACGCACCTTAACCTGGAAAACATTGACTATCTTGGCCAAAATTACTATTTACGTTTTAACGTAAAATTTTCAAATTTTGAGGGTATTTTACATATGTGCCATAATGACTCTAAGACATTTATTTCCATACGTATTTAAACTCTTTCTAAAACCTTTTCTGTAGAATCTCTAAATTTATTAGTTCAAGATAATTAATATTTACACCGTAAATAGCTTTTAAAACCATTCCTTTGGTAGTTTTGCTATAACTAAGATCTTGATTAAGTGCTTATTGTTATATGTGACACAGCAGCCTTTGATTTAAAATTTTTAGTATTCCAAGGATCTTGTAGTTTTGCAAATTTAATGTAATAGAAATAAGGGAAATTGTTTAAGATTTATTTTACATTAATAGAACTGCTTAGACTAAACCTCTTTGTCATCTTTTGAGCCATCTTTGTAGTTGATTATATATTATATTTACGGTGGCTCTTTGGTTCCGTATTGATCATAAAGTAAATGATAAAAACTTCAATTGTCTGCATTGATCATTTAATAAATATATAGAAAAAATAAAGACAATAAAAAAATGGAAACTATAATGAACAATAATACGTATCTACAATAGCCTATCATGCCACTCTATTTTAACATTACTATTCAAAATTGTTATTAGAAGAATTATCATTCTGATTCTGTTTTTTCAATAAGTTCAATTAACTTATTAATTTTATCTAGTGGATCTTTTAATCCTTTATCCATTTATTTGATTCGTCAATGTTTCATTTATTTTGTTTGTCAATGCTTCTTGATTTGTTAATGTTTCATTTATTTTTATCAATGCATCATTTATATCATTTATTTTATTTTGTAAGGTCTCTTCAGAATCCTCAATTTTAGTAATTTTCTTAATCTCAGAAGGAAGATTTTCTTTATTTTCAACACACCTTACATATTTTTTGAGTTCATTAACTGAAACTTTGTAATATCTAAAAATTTAAACTATATATTAATTTATAGTATAATATTTGTAATACGGTTAAAAAAATTTAATTACAATATTTCTGGAAACCAGTTTTTCTTTCTTCTTTGATAAGGTAACATCCAAAAAAGTTCAATTTCAGATAATATCTAATAGTAAAGTATATTAATAATATATTTTATTTTACTTTTAAATTATAATTAAATAAAATTTTATACCTCTCCTCTTAGTTGTAAAAATGATTCCTCATTATTTGTTTCATCAATAGCATTTCCAAGTAATGAAATAAATAGGTTCAATAAATAAATTGTTGTAAAAAATGAAAATATAGCTAACAAAAATACTAAAACCCAATTATCTTTTAAAACCCATGAAGAAACTGAACTTGTATCCCCTAAAATAAAAATAAAATTAATTTGTTTAATTCATTATATACAATACCTGTTAGCATAAAATATACAGCTAATATAGAAGTACTAAATAATGAAAATAAATTTGTATTGTCATCTGGGGTTTCAATAAAAGATGATCCTCCAACAGTGCCATCAGATGAAATTAATTTATATGTTGAAACAAGATTCCAAGGATTGTTAACATCATCAGTATTACTTGGCTGATTATAAGAATATTCGCTAGTAGGTCTTAATAAAAGATGCAAAGGCCAAAACTATAATTGCTAAAACAACAAGAAAAGAAAAGACTTTTTGTGCCACTCCAATCATAATTGCAAAATAAGTTCCAAAGTATTCTAAAGCACGAAAAAATAATAAAAATTTAATTTCAAGTAAAAAAGCAGCAAGAGTTATACTCCAAATTGGTGGTGTTTTATCATATAACCATACTAATGAAGTTATTGTTGGAAAGAATATTGCAGCAAGATCTATGATTACAAAATATGATGATAAAATTAGATTATAAAACAAAATATTAGTAATAATAAATTATTAAACTAATTTTATATACCAAACCAATTCCAAGGACTAGCTATATATGCTATTGGTCGATAGATAAATTGGCGAATCTCGAAAATTAAATGAAAGAATCCAAAAAAAATAGTTGAAAACAAAAGGATTAATTGATTATTCCAAGAAATTCCATGCTTCGGAATCATTGAAACAATTAAAAAACAGCATATAAAAATAGAATATATTGCCCATATTATAAAATAATAAAACCTTCCATAAGTGTTCCACTTGAAGTTGATAAGTGCTTTAATATTCCACCATTTATAATTATCAGAAGTATCTAGTAGTGAAGTAAAAGGATTACCTTATATACAAAATAGTTCACTATAAGAGTATTTTGGAGAATATGTAGCAAAATTTAATAATGAAAACATTAAAACCACAGTATCTTGGGGATAAATAGTAAAATAAGATAAATATAGCAAGTAAGGAAATGCTAAAATGTCATAAATTCGAGGATAAGATTCTTTCAAGAGATTCCATTTTTCAAAAATCCAAAAAAATAAGTAATTAAAAAATGAAGTATTAAATAAGTCATGTGGGATAAAATAGGCTCCACAATGTTGAAAATTAAAAAAGAATGAATCATTATTTTCAATATGATAACGACTAGTGTCGATATGGCCAACTAACATATTGGTCTTAGATAAAAATTTTTCAGTATATCTTTGATTTCTATTATATTTATCTAACCTTACTAATGCAAAAGTAATTTGGCTTATTATTAATATAAAGCTATAAATGTCGCCACTTTAAAACGTCGACAAGCTATATTCATAACAACTAGTAAGTAATTCATCAATGTATCCCCTATTATCTTCCAGAGGTGATTCATAAATGTTTCCCTTTTCATGTCCTAAAAGTAATTTATGAAATGTCTTTTCCATATAATAATATTAATGATATTGATCCCTTATAGTCTAGATTATTATTAGTATCACCCCAAAGGTTTTGCAACCTTTTAATTTTTGCTTTATAACTTGGTGGTGGTAAGGCTTCAAAGCCAATGTTCAAATTCTTTTTAACCAAATTTTTAAATGAAGTAAGAAGACTAATTATAGATTTTTTTGGTGTTTCATCACTTGATCTTTCTGTAAGGGTTTTATCGGTCCAACAATAAATTAGTTTTCCTTCGAAACTTCTTTAGAACCTTTTACTGAAGTTATTGTATAGACTTGTATGCAAGTATCAAAAACCAATAAAATGTCACCATTTTCAAGCACTTTATATTCAAAAATACCAGAATATAAAGAAAAAGAATTTACATCAATTTCTTTACCAGATTCCATTTGGGCTTTTAACTGTATACTCAAGCTTATATCGTTATATCTTTCATATGAAATAATCCAACTGTATAGCTCACTAGAATATACTTCTGGTTTATTTAAATAATCCTGGCTTAAATTTTGATTTGACTCGTACTTATAATACTTGTCCAAAATAGTATTTATAAATTGCATAATTTCATTTGTATTGAAATATGTATATGTATTACCATAATAACGCTTTTTACGCTCTAAATAATTTTTCCAATTTTCATTTTGAGACAATCTTTGGATCGTAAGATAATTTGTATCATTTTTTATAATATAATCAGAAACAATATTAATAGAGCCCATTGATTGGTAATTTTGATATGTTGCAGGATAAAAATCATGTAAAAAATTATTGTCTGGAGGCTTATCAAGTGTACATGTGTGAGGATCCAATATATAAGAGTTATAACTCTCTGTATAATAATGTGAGCCAGAAAAAAACAAACGTTCTTCTTTTCCCAATCCAATAAAACAGAAATTATGCAAATATTCATCAAAACTTTCTAAATTATTAAATAAATTATTAATCTTGATTTTAATATTTAAAATAATTTTATATAAAAATACCTACTATTTACCAACATTCTACCAGATTTTGTTAAATAAACACTGATCGTTCCGTAACTAACTACTGCTAACAATGTATTGTCACTATTCAGTTTCATTAGCAACGAAGTAGTCCATAAATTCAAATTTAAAATATATTGCATATCAAACTTCCGAGTTATTAGGTTCCATTGCATGATTACTTGTGGTCTATCAAAACCCATAAACAATTTTCCATTTTTAAAAACAGAGCACATATCAAATTTTTCTAGTTCAATACTGTTTTTGCATGTCCACTGATGTATGCCATAAGACTTTGATTTTGAGAAGATATAGGCCCGATAAATAGGATCCCCTTTGATAATTGCCAGATCTCCATTTTCTAAAAAGGTTAAAGTTTCAGTCGATCCTTTTAGACCTTGCGCACTCAATAATTGTCTTAACTTAGTCGTAATATCAATAATTACTGCAAAATAAACTTTATTAATATAAAATATAATTAAACTTTAGCGATTGATTAATTTTTACTAACCAAAATTAATTTCAAAAATAAAAAGCGTCGCTCTAAATATCACATGTTTACAATCTGAAATTCCTTCAAACCAGTCGCCGCTAAACATATCTTCAAATTTAAAATATGAAAGGGATTCACTAAATTTATAAGCGCTTAATATACTTTCAAGATCATTAATGTTTAATGACTCATAATAGTTGACAATAAGTTCATTCGTAATGGTCCATACAACAATTGATTTATCTTCTTCACTCAAAGTTGCAATACATTGCATATTTGGTGATAAAACATATTTAACAATTTTTTTTCCTCCGTGCGGATTAAGATCATCGATTGAAATCTTTTGATCTTTAATTAACGGTTCTTCAGATTTTGATGAACTCATTTTAGATAAGAACAGCTAATTATTTTTGAAAGAAGTTAATATTCAAGATGTAATCTTTTAGATGTTAATGGTTATTTAACGTTAATATTTGGAAAACTTTGGTCATTTTTCAAACAATCAGCTTGTTTATTCAATAACAGTATATATATTTCATATTGTATAATATCAATATGGTACATTTCCCTAGCAAGGATTGAGTGCAGCCACGAGGCTTAAAAAAAAAACTATCTATTATGTGTAAAGTGTATTTGTAACACACCGTAGCAACCCGATATTTATACACAATTAACCATAGCTGCCGTAACAAAATTGGACCGGTATATTCTCGATTTTGATTGGCTAAGAGAGACGTTCAAAAAATTGGCCGGAATTACTCAGAATTTTACTAATGCCGCCCACCAAGTGAAATTGTTCCTGGGCCAATTTTAACAATTCGAGCTTATTTTTTAAAAATTTCTATTTTTGTAATTAAAAAATTAAAAGGTTAATTCCGGCCGGAGATTAGTAAACAATTATGTAATGTGGCCAGATTTTTGAAGATATTCGGCCGTTAACCAACCAAAATCGAGGATCTGCCGGTCAATTTTGTTGCGGCAGCTATTACTATGGTTAATTTATTACACATGATGATACCAATACCAAATTTTCACATGTTACATATTTCATTATTACAGTTAGCTCATTGTCATATCGTTTTACTAACGGCTTGTATGAGCAATGGCTATTTAATCCTTAGCTTGAATCGTG